ATTGCTGTGCGTGTTACCACTGCACATGCTTCCATCCACATCCCATGCCTTAACAGCAAGGTGTTTTTTGCCTTTAAGACACAGGCAGCAGCAGAACACGCGCTGATCCTGTAGCTGTTCAGTGAAACTAATGCAGATGTAGACAAAGCTTATCAACTCTACCATAGCCCTGATCTCACCTCTGCGGCATGACCCCTGGGAGACGATCCAGTGCAAAGGAGGTGCATAAGGCTGCTCTGGAGAAGACGTAAGGCAAGGGTTTGATTTTAATTAAATAGGGAAGTAGAGGAAACATGCAGTGATTAAGGGGTTTTTTTTTTATTCACACCAAAGCTCTAGGTAAGGAATGCAGAATTGAAGGCTGCAGGTGGATGTCACCAAAAGGGCAGAGTTAAGGCTGTTTTGGCAGCACAAAGAATCATAGAAAATGAGGGTTAGAAGGGACCTCAGGGGGTCACCAGGACCAGCCCCAACTGCATCATCACATGTGTTTATGAATCTCTGGTTAAGAGGCTCCCGCTAATTTTCTCCTCCAGTTCTGCGCCATGTTAGAAGAACACGGCTGAGAAATAATCTGTGAGGAGATGTGACAGAGCATGTTCAAAGCTGCTCGTTCGTTCCAGGTGACTGGCATCTGAAGCCACGGGTGAAAGGGAATTGCTAAAGGTTAATACACTGCAGCTCTCCGGACACCTGCAAGTCACCTACTTCCAGGCTGGCAAGACAGAAATGTGCAGGGGGAGGTAATGCCATTTAAATCCCAAACCGTGGTTCTCCAGGGCTCATCAAATCTCCCGTTAGTAGCCCACACAGCATTCAAGAGGGGTGTCAGGACTACCTATAAGTAATCCTGTCCACTTCGATATGAGACCCCCTTCTCCAAAGCTGGCCCAGCCACTGGCCGCCTCAACCTACACAAGGGAGGTTCAACCTTGAATATATCTATTTTAATTTCTCCCCATCATTTTGCCAGTCTGTCCAGCAGAGTTGAGATCAGTGTCTGCCACCATATCACGGCAAATCTGTGCTCGCTGACCTCCTTTTTTCTTGGTTAAGCTTGCAAGTAAAAATCATGTAGAAGGTCAATTGTGAGCATTACATGGGAGAAGAGCAAGACGCTCAGGTACAGCTCTAATGGAGCTCCTGGTTCAAAACTGGGACTTACAAACCAAAACTCTTGGGTTTTTCACTGCATATGTAGACTCGAGTGGGTCGCACCTGTGCCTCAGTGCTCAGCCTGCCCTACCTCAATGTGTGAGCAAGTACACCGCAATCCCCCTTACAGTAATCTCACCAAGACGCCAGGCAGCATATCCAGTGATCCTTTGGGCTGCTGTAAGATGAGCCACTTCATGATGCCTTCCCACCGAATTATAGGAGAATGTATCTGCCTTCCTAGGAACACAGAGCAGCATTTTGGGAAGGCGCAGGAGGACTATCCACACATGTGGTTTAGTGGATCCTCACAGCCCCGTGGGTGGTTTACCAGGCTAAGTGAGAGCAGACCAGGCTCTATGTCTTATCAAGCTTGCTAGCCTAAGCTGAAGGCACTGCTAAACCCAGGCAAGAGGATTTGGGTGGGGAAAGGGTTGGCAAACCCTGATTACGAGTCCAGGGTAACTGCAGTGAAGACAGCCTGACTATTCAAGGCCATGTTTCCTCTTGGCTGGATGAAAAGCTGCCCCTCTCCCCAGCCACCCCAAAAGACAGACTCCTGTGGGAGGTGGATGAGGCCCTTTCTGACCACAGCACATACTCTTTTTCCCAAATAAAGGAGTGTAGCTGTGATTATTTGCCCAGGTCGACCCTCACTGCTCAAGGAGATACCATGCCCACCTTACCTGGACTCAGGCACCACAGGCTTGTCCTGCTTACCTATACCCACGAAAGCTCAGGTATACATAGGCAGGCAAGGTTCTTTGAGCAGAGGTGATATCTTTGATTAGTTGGAAAAAAGTGCACCCAAAATCTGGCTAAGAACTTTGTTCCAACGACTCATCAGGGTTTGCCAACCCTCTCCCCACCCAAATCCTCTTGCCTGGGTTTAGCAGAGCCTTTAGCAGTACCAACGGTCTAATAAAAGATATCACCTCTACCCAAAGAACCTGGCCTGCTTGTGTCATTAAACCAACACGCCAACAACCAAAAACCCAGCAGGCATACACAGGATTTTTATTTATACTGACATCCTGGGGAACACTCAGGCAGTGGCTTTGTTAGGATAAAACTAGAAACCCCCCTGCATGGGAATTCAGAGTTCAAGCGCACCAGCCCTCCTGACCTGTGGTTTAGAAACAGATCCCGAATACCCAGCCCCAGCCTGCTGCCCTGCACTCATCTATAGCCCCCATATGAGCAGGGCTTACATGATACACAGAGGCATCAAACAGGCGCCAACAAAGGATTTCATTTCACATCTCACTCTGCATCCAAAGGCCTGGACCCTGACCTGGATCCACAGCAGCTGTTGCAGCTAATCACACCCACGGCTCCAGCAGCCCAAGCAATGAGTGGAAGGAAGTCTCCCTCCGCCTCCTACAGAGAGGGACCTCCGGCATGCTTCATCCAAAAATAGTCCTAAAGCTGCCTGCAGCCCTGGCATTAAGAGCAGTGCTGGCTGTGTGGCAGTGTTCCTACCTGCCATGTATGAGATCTGAGTTCAAGTCCTGGCTGGGGTGAGTGAGCTAACAAGAAGCAAATCTTGTGATGGAAAGGGCCTTATTGTGTTTTTTGGGGGTCGGGCTAGAAGATCTACTAGGTCCCTTCCGACCCTTAATCTATGAATCATTTCGTTGCCCTTGTCTGGGGCGTCAGTGGTTCTTGCGGCCCAACCTGACCAGCTTTCTTTTTGAAGGGGAGACCCCAGGCCATGCAGTGGAGCTCATGATAGAGAAGCTGGTTCTTTACGAGTCTGTGTGTCTGCACCGGGGTTTACAGGTGGGGCACTCCCGAGCAGACGCAACTGCTCCAGGCCACTTGTGGATGGTGAAAAGCAACAGGGAGGCATCGGCAGACAGTAGCTCAGGGGGATCCAACTCACTGCACCCCATGGGAAGCACAAGCCACCTCTGGTGGCAAGCCAGCACAGCTGCCAGATGTGCTCACAGCCCCATTTATCCTGCTGTCGATTTTAGTTGTCAAAGGCAAATGAAGGCCCTGCACTTGGTGGCAGGCAGGGGAGTAAGCTTCACCCCCTGGGCGCCAGCAGCCACACAGACCAGCGCTGCAGGCCATAATTTAACCATTCAATCCCGGGGCCACCACTTGGCCAGCCCTGTTCTTGCAGGCACTTTGCAACGGGGGCAAGGAAGGGAGTTCAGTGATAACCCCCTGTCCTGTTAATTCAATGCAGCAGCTGACCCACCTGTTGCCCTCGTGGCTCCACGTTGCGGCTCCCACAAGTCAGAAATGTTCACACTCCTGTATTTTATGATGCACTGAAAACACTTCCTTAGCTACAGGCCATGGGACTGAAAACACTTCCTTAGCTACAGGCCATGGGTTTGTTGAAGCGACTGCGCCAGGGCCGGGCTGAGCCGGGCCGTTATGACGCCTTGCTCCACTTGTGCCAAAGCATGCCTACAGTCAATCCAGGTCTTGGACCCTGATCCCTCAAGCTAGGGTCCAAAGCAACCAGCCCTCCCTCCCGGGATGGCTCAATGGGCTGTTCTGCAAACCTGGCAGACATCAGGCCTGCATTAAATTTGCAGAGTGCCTTACAGCGACGGGTCCAAGGCATGCTATGAATTGTCCCGCAGCCTCCCCAAGGTACCACCCTCATCCCTTTTCCCCTCTGCTGCTCTGCTCCCTGCCCTATCTGCCACTATGCTTCCCTGCCTTACAGTGCCATAGCTGTGACGGTGCCTTACAAAGTAACTTTCAGTGCCATAGATGATACCGATAAGGAATTTAAGAGAAATGAGGTTTCTTAAAAACCCTCAGGAAGTCCCCGTAAGAAGTCTGCTGAGATTTAACCAAATCTGCTTTCAGAACAGATGCAGTTAAAACAAATCCAGTGTCTAATCTCTGACAGAAGCCATAACTCCCTCCTCCTGCACAGGTCTCCCCAAGCTTTCAGTCATTTTTACTGCTGCCCCCGCATCTTTTTTCTCTCTCTGAGCGGTCTACTTTTCTAACGATGCATCGATCAGAAAGGAACATGCTCCTGGGTGAGTCTCTGCACACAGGAAAGAGAGGTTCCCTGAAATGGGTTAGGAATGGTTGAGTGAGGACACGTGAACAAGAAGCTCCCAAAAGACCGAGCAGGGGAAAGGTCACAACGAACAGACACATTTGACCGACCGCAGCACACTCAAAGCACCAACCAAATGCATTAGGAGACCCCGGTGGCCACACCTGCCAGCCTAATGGAGCAGAACAGACATGCAGAGGTGGGCAGGGATCATTTAAAAAAAAGTGTGAGGAAGTGAGGAACAGGATTTGTAGGTCCACAACATAATCAGAGGCTCAACCATGACGCTCTGTGCCACCTGCTTGGCTAGGAGCGTAGCAGGTTTGAAGGGAGGGATTGTCACAAACGAGTTAAAGCAATTAGACATTCACAACTGGGAGGGGGCAGGGAGGGAGACTTGGGTGAGACACTTCAGAAATATCGATGCGCTCCAAAATACCACACCCGGGGCAGCAAAGCACCTCCCGGCGTACTTTTCACAATCGCTACCGAGTTATACCTCCACACCCCAGTGACAACAGCAAGTGTCATTAAAGAGTCGGGGAGACACAAGCCCAGAAGGGTGAACAGACTTGCCAGACCCACGTCAGTTGGCTTGTGGCACAAGCAAGACCAGACCCACAGACTGGGCCCCCCGTCCTGGGCTTTAGCCACAGGACTGCCGTTCCCCCTTCACCCCACACGTCATCTGAGCCAAGACTAGAAGTATGCCTAAGTTGGGGACACAGCTTGGTTGCAGATCTACTGTGGTCCCTGGAGTGAAACTATAAGGACAGCTTGTGCAGTCCACACTCCCAGTGCTACTGACCTGGGTTTCTGAGAAGGCTCTTTGGTGTCCTTCGAGCTAAACCAGCTGGTCTTGCTCTTCTCTTCTCCAGCCATCACCTGAGAAGCCTGGGTGGTTCCCTGCTTCTCCCCCGAGCTCTTCTCCCCTGCATCCGCCTTGCCTCTGTGGTGGAAGAGGCCACCTCTTGCCTTCTTGTCTTCCTTCCTGCCTTCCTCTTTTGCAGGCTCTGCAGAGAAGACCATCGGTGTGGTGATCTGCACAGGCTTGGTCTCTACGCGCCCAGCTTCTTCCATCCTGGCTCGGCCGAGGTGGTTGTTGAGGGTGACGGCTTTGGTTGAGACCTTGAGCTCCTCTTGCAATACCAAGCTAGGAGGAGAGGGAATGAACCTGGGCTCTTCCTTCGGCTGCATCTTCTCGAAGCTGCTGCCTCTCCACGACGGCTCTTGGGAATCAGGGGGGAAGGGGATGGGGCTGAAGCCCTCCTCGGGCCTTTTGGCAACATTTTGTAGAGGCACGGACAGAGGCAAGGAGCTTTGCTGGACAGACATGGGGCTCTTTGGTGTGGGTTCGTCGCTGTAAATGTGGCTTCCATTGATGCAAAGAGAGGACCTGGAGACAGGCTCGTTCTTTGGCTTCAGGCTTTGGATGGATTTCGACTCGGGTACTGTGCTGACCTGGGAGACTTCATCGCTGAACGCTCGCTTGTGGGTCAGCTTTGGAGATGGCAGATAGTCTTTCACTGGAAGAGAAAAAGGGGCACCCATGAGACTGTTTGCCTGGAAGAAGCTGAGTCAAACAGCAACATCACCAGGCCAGGCGGGAACTCCCTCCCCACCATGGACACTGTGTTGCCTGACGGAGGGGTTTTGCGTCTTCCTCTGAAGAACTGGATGTTGGACACAGCTAGACTAAGCTTTGACTAAGGTACAGGGTTGTTCTCCTACCAGTCTCAGCTGCCTGGCAGGGCTGGCTCTGCGTGTGTGTGCACAGAGGTATGATCCACTTCCTAGGATCCTCTGAGCTTATATTAACCTAGCAGCCTTCATCTCCCCTGCTTTTTACTTGCTACATGGGGTGTTTTTCTGTGGCTCTAATGTATACAAGGGGCTGGAGGGCATCATTTTTAGGACTCGCTGGAGAAATGGCTGCCTATGAATGCTAGAGACTGCGCTCAAAGGCTACGGAGCCTCTTCCCAGTCCTGTCTTCTCCGGATCGTAATGAAGTCACTGTAAGCTGTGCATGATCCTGTCTTTGGCAGGGGGCTGGACTAGATGACCTCTGGAGGTCCCGATCTCTGTATGATTTCTACGACAATGACGGCAATTGGGGCATGAGCACTTTGCCAAACAAGTGACATCATTTCCTCCCAATATGATCTCACTGCAGATTTTATAAGAGGATAAAACCCCAGTCAGAGAGGCAAGAAGCTCTCCAAAAGGATCATAAGTGGATTTGTGCTGAGGTGTGGGTTATATGTATTAGGGGGGAAATGTTCCTCTAGGACCCATACAGTACATTACACCACTGCAGAGAATGGTGATGGTTTTTAGGAGGCTGCCACACAGGATGGGGAAATGTGACGGCACTTTTGCATGCATTTGTTCCTATTTCCAGGTCACACAGCAGCTGAATACACCCAGCAGGTTTCTATCATTAGAAAATCCAGAAAGGAGAGCGGCATGGCGTGAAACGGGGCACATCAGAGCGATCTCCCCATTCAATGAGGATTCACAGATCTCCCCGCTGAGAGGCATACACTGCGTGTGGGGATCAAAGCTGCTGTCACACTCATCCTTATCCCAGGTAAAGACAATAAAACAATACAGGAACCCCATCCCAAAAGAGTCACCACTGTTCAGCCATGGGGCTTTGTGCATCTGGGCACTGGGTACATTATATTATATATATATTAATTATATGCAATCACTTTGCAGTACCCAGCATCCCTATAGCATAGACCACCATTCCTCCCACTTCCATCATAATAGGGTGGCACCATTTTCCTTTCCAAATGGGCTTCACCAGACACCCGCTCTCCCCACAAAGAGAATTATTCCTTTGGAAGGGTGCTGCTCTCTCAGCTCAGGTTTGGGGACCGTGTTCAGGAGTGTAGTCTGGTGTGCTGAGCCCTGGATAGGAGCCCTCCTCCCCAGGTGCACTGCCTTGCCTTGCGGTTACTGCACCTTGTCAGGTGTCTCCAATCTGGCACTGAACTGAAATACTATGAGCCCCGTTGCAGCAGCTCTATAGCTGGTGCCTCCATGCCCAGCCTGGCACCCATCCTTCATGCCTGCATGCCCCTCAGGGGAAAAGGCGTGCTCCAGGACACACTCTCTGTAGCCAGCTGTTTAGCTAGCATGTCCTAATGCCCCCCCCTTTTTTGTTATTTTAATAAAAGTGACCAAAAAGCTTTATCTTCTTACCAGAGCGCTCTGTGGACAGACTGCTGTGCCTGCTGGGGGATTTGGTTACCTCAGGAGCGTTAATGGTTATGCCGAAGTTGTTTGCCAAGCTGCTGCTAGCGGAGGAGATGGTGCTGTCAGAGCCCAGGGATGTGTTGGACTGAGTGAGGGACGACTTGCGGAGCTTGTTCTTAAAGAAAAACCCCTTGGCTTTGGATTTCTTGCCCCCGAAGTCATAGTCCTCCACGTCGAGGGCTCCAGTGCTGCTGGGGATGATGGCGGAGGCGGACTCCAGGTCGTATTTCTTCTTCCCCTTCATCTTGTCCTTCAGCTTGCCGAAGGGCGACCGCGGCTTGTCCTTCATGGACAGGTCGAACATGCTGGCCGTCATGTTGTTACGGGTGAACTGGATCGTGACCTGGATCTCCCCTCGCTCCTTCTCCTTCTTCCCGGCCTTGGAGTGCAGCTTGTACCACCTGGAGTTTGAGAGGAGAGAGAAAAGACCCCCCGCTTGTTATTTCCGAGAACCACGACTGAGTGAGCAAGTGCTAAGACCCAGGCTTCTCCACACGGCCAAGGACTATAGGAGTACGGACAGATCCAGTACGGGGCACCCCTTTGACCCCTGATCCACCCAAAATTTAAAACCAAGCACCCGGGAGAGAAGTGGCATTTCTATTCAGGCAGTGCAGAGAAAGGCAGTTGACTTTGTGGTTTATTAGCATCTCCCTGTTTCCTGTTAATCTCTCCCCATTCCACAAGTGTTAACAACCCACTCTCCTTTATAACGGTCTTCATATTCCACTATTCAAACTATCCTTCCTTCGGTGACTCTGCTGCAATAGCCCTTCCTGGGACTGTCTGTCTTCTATTTCACAGCCCCACATACGGTTTTTAGCTTGACCTAAAAACCTTAACCCAGGTGGGGTAATATTAACTCAGATGTAAAAATGACGGTCAGTGGAGCATTGTTAAGACACTCAAGAAAGCTAGATTCTGTTTTTTAATACGACTAAGAGTATTCCCTGTCCGAGTGCAGAGGTGCTGGACGTGATGATCTTGTAAGGTCCCTTCCAGCCCCTAACATCAATGCACATTTAACTATAATGACTACAGGACTAACGATACAATATCTTTCAACTATTTTTTGCCCAGTTTGTTGTTTTTTTTAAATTTATATGCACTCTAGCAAATTAGTGCACTATAAATAGTTTTATATACATTTTAATACATATATATTAATATATTATATTTATATAACATATCAATATATGGTGTAATGGTTTATTACATAATATACTAATGCATAATGTGTGCATTAATATAAAATATGCATAATGTAGGAATTATGGGGCAGGGGGCTGGACTCAATTCATATATATCTATCTATATCTATAATATAATATAATATAATATAATATAATATAATATATGCATTATGGGGCAGGGGGCTGGGCTCAATTAATGCATATATATGCATTATGGGGCAGGGGCTGGACTCAATGATCTTCCAAGGTCCTTCCAGCCCTAATGTCTATGAAATGTCTATGAAAAATCTATATATTAATGCATCTATGTAGTATTTTAATACATATACATTATATATTTATAAAATATATAGCTATATTTGTTTTTGCATCAATTTTAAACTGAGTAAGTAGTGCTAGGCTTGCACTTCTGTGGCACCACCAGTCCAACCATCTTGGGTTTGGACAAGCAAATCGACCCTCCCAGCCCCCTGGCTGGGGAGACGACTTTTATCCACCCCCATTCCCTGTATGGACAAAGACCGAAAGACGAAGAAACAGCCTCAAAGTCCTATAGCAACTTGCTGGCGGACCCGGCCTCCTACACGTTGAGAACAAGGCACTACCCCTAGTCGCTGGAGAGGAGGAAACCCTCGCTTCTTCACAAGAGATGTCCCACCCCACATCCATATCACGGCTTCTTCTTGCACCAGGATGCTCTGGACAACCAGCTTACAGTACATTCGTTTCCACCCTTGCTCAAGAACCTGCCTTAGAAAGTCCCACACTGCCAGCCCGTGCCTCCACCTCCTCCAGTCCCAGCCACCACTGCCCTGATTTCTTTCGCCGATCAGGATAGAAAAAAAATTTAAAAAAGAGAAGTCCAATTTCTAGAGCTTGATTTGATTACAAAGCTCTTGGGATTCTCTCTGTGCCCATAACTGGCTATCCATCAAGTAGCCCAGATGTTCTAGGGAAACACAGATTTTGCTCCCCAAGGGCAGAGGTTCCTCGTTCCATGGAGACGCTCTGGGAAACCCAGCCCCAGACCGCGCAGGAGCACAGGGCTGGGAGCCATCTCACCTGAGCAGAAGAGCAAGAGCTGGCCCCTGCGGGCAGGGGGCAGCTAGGATTCGAAACAGCTTCAATTCAAAAGGGCAGCAGACAAGAGCCAGCAGATGCAGGCAAAACAAGGACCAACAGTGGCTGAGCGTGGCATGGGAAATGCCTCGTATGTCTGAGGCATCCCACAGAAATTCAGTCCGATTTACAAGTAGCAAGAAACCTGTTGCAGACCCCTCTGCCTCTTAAAACCCACCTTGTAGTAACTGCCTGGGGAGATTCAGAGACATGCGTGCTGGCAGCACCAAAAGACACCATTTCCCAACAGACCCCGGACTGCGTTTGAAGGGTTATTTCCTGGGTGTTGGTTTTCTGGGTCTGTTCAGTAACGAAGCATCGGGGGCTGTGAGAGAGCCTCCACCCCAGCACATCTTAAACAAAGACTGGTCAAGATGTGGTTTTAAAAAAAAAAAATCACACTTTGTGCATCCGACTGACTGTCTCAGACTCACAAAGGATCCTTCCTGATTAGGGCTTTGTTACTCTAATTGGGAAAATATAAGACAACTTCTAGTTATCATACATTAATTGCAAAGGGGGGGAAAAAATCAGCACGCCTGAACAGACCAGCAAAAGTCCATCAGAGAAAACGAGGACGCCAACCCCTCGTTTTTCCAGCTCACAAGGCTGGCTCGGCACTGCCTGCTTGGGGAGGGACCAGCGCCCAGCCCAGCGGCTCTGCAGGGCTGCATCCCTCCCTGGGAGGAGGGGGAGGCATGCCTGGCCATGATCTCAAGACGGCCTGAGCCCTGCCAAACCCCACTGAGCTCAACGGCAGCAGGCCCCGCGTGCCCTTGGCCCAGCCGCACCGAACAAGGCGTCCTACGGCAGGGGCCTTGCTCCTGGCAGCCGGCTCCTGGGAGAGCTCCAAGCACAACGGCTCTGCGGGAACGCGCCTCGCTGAGCGGGCTGGGCACACACCCTCGCTGCTCCAAGCCAGGCTCCCACTGAAGAGCATGCACGGCCCACACCAGAAATGCAGCATGCTGCTCTCAAGCTCCGTGTTTGCAGATCTGTGGTACGAGGCCACCCTGAAGCTGCCTCCAGCTCTGGCGTGCACGGGAAACAGGCAGGGCCGTGCGCTCTGGGGATGCAAGGCAGACCTGCCTGAGATGTCTCCGCAGAGGCTCGCATCCAGGCCGTGGCACAGACCACATTCAGTCACACACGGGAGTCAGGTGTGGGCTGCTGCTACACAAAGCAAGTAACCCCGCCTGCAGAAGGGCCTGGGTCCCTCACCTCCAGCTCGAGGATGCCCCTACTCCCGATCAGACTCCCTCTCCGGGTGCCACCAGCGTGATCTAGATGGGGAGGATGCGACACAGAAGCAGACAGGTGTCCGCAGAGCCTATTTCCCCCCCTCCCCATCAGCTTTGCAGCCAGCTACACCTTCCCCCGCAGCTCTGCCTGCTCCGTGGCTTCGTGTGCATGTGAGAGCTAAACAGGAAGAAGAACAAGCCAGCAGGGCCAGATACCACCGGCAGGGCCCGGGACACAGGTCCTGCCAGGCACCGTGCGACAGTCCCAGCAGCACGGGAGGGAAGAGAACAGCTCCAAACCCAGGCTGCCAACTTGAAGGGAGGCTGCGGGCAACAGCATGTGCAGTAGGCGCTGAGCAGCACCTGCCAGTGAATGCAAAGCTTCCCAGGGTCTGCCAGGCCTGGGTGAGGATGTGAGGAACACAAAATGCAATCTCTGCCCTGCGCCTGGTGCTACCATCTGCACCCAGGCAGCTAAAGCACTTATCTTTAAGGCATGTGCACCTGCACTGCTTGCCCAGGGGGTCAGCTCTTCCGTGGCATTCGTATTTCTCCACTTCATTAGCAGTACAGGTGACATGATCAGGCCTCATAGGCTCCGGATAGGGCAATTCTGGATGGAACCAGTGCTGACTAGGCAGCCTGCAACCTTCCCTCTGCACTGGCCAGGGCCTGCGGCGTTTCAGCAGCGTACTGCCCAGCCAGCCCCTGCCTCTCACGAGAGAGAAGTGCACTGAGATCAACCAAGTGACGGTGATGAGTGTTGCTCCCTGGTCAGCCTCCACGCTCCATCCCTCCCACGGTTTGGCTGGGGGGGGGTGGGGGTGGTGGTGGCAGCATTCGCCCCTTCTTGCCACGTTGCCACATTCTGCATATCAGCAGCGCTGCAACTCCCCTCTGCCCCTCAGAGGGATGGCGGGTGTGAAGTAGGCAGAGATCCCCACCCCAGGCCTACTTCTTAAGGTGTTCGAATATGTGAACGTGCATAATTTGAACTTCTCTTTGCAGAGAAAGTTGAACAGAGCTGCACTGCAATTTCAATGAGCCAGAGAGCCAGGCTGACAAGCTCAAAGTACAAGTGCCGCATTCCAGCAACCAGGGACGCTGCTGAGGAGGAGACTGCAGAGGAAGCACGGTTGGGCTGGCACCGTGAAGCAAGAAGTCCCTGCTTCTGGGCTTGTCTAGGGGGAAAATGCTCGGTGCCCGACACTAGCCTCCCTCCTGGCCAGCACACTGGATTTGCCAGGCACCTCAGTGGACAATGCAACGTAGCTCAGTACATGGGTAAACTTCAGGATGTTTCTTCTAAGGCTCCTCTCCCAATCCAAAAAGGCTCTGCTTTGCCTGAGTGGGTAGGTCAGCAGGTTCAAGCTCAGAGTTATGCTGAATGTACAATTAAGCAGGTCCGCAGAGAGAAGTCACGAGGGCTGGCATGCTGAGAAGTCATGCCCCGTTCACAGCCCTCCACCTGCCTGCAATGCACTTTCCCATACGGGCATTGGCAGTCCAGACGTGCCAGCCCTTTCCCTGACACAGGCAGCACTGCCCAGGCCATATCTGTCTGAGAAGGGCATCCCATAAGAGGCCCCAGACTGCAAACGGAGGGGTTGCACATACAACGGTGTTACTCCCTAGCAAGTCAAGGATGTCATGTTTCTGGGGGGCAGTGACCTCTGACCCACTGGCAGCCCCCTTATAAGCCTGTCACTTGGGGATCCAGTCTCTAACCATCCCCTTCCTACGGCAGGAGCCCCCCGCACGGTTAAAGACCTGGGAGGGAGGGGAAAGGGGGCTGCAGCCCCTTCTTACAATGCTTTGCAATTATCCCAGCGGGCCAAGCACCTGCAA